TTTTTTTTTTTTTTTTTTTTTTTCAAAATATTAAATTTTGTTTATATCAATACAGTAATGAAATTTCTTGTATTAAATTATTAGTATATATAATAAGCCGAAGGCTGACAATGAGTATTTGAATAAAATAATAGGTAGCATTATGCACCAGAAAGTTCACGTCTGTGATGTAAAAGAAACAGAAATATATGGTATGGGACTAAGAAAGGAAATAAATATGACTTTCAAATAGGAGTTCTACAGAAGCTTAGAAAGCCCAGAGTTCTCATTGACATATATAGAAGCCTTATTTACTATAGAAACGTACTTTGAGGATTATTAGGTTATGCAACACCCTCTCCTCCCTCCATGCACTATACAGATACCAGTGTGGAAGCCTCTCTCTTACTCCTCCATCTTGTAGGTTTGAGTCTTTATTGTATAAATAGATTGTATGGTAAGTAATAAAATATTGAAATTTTATCTAGTGTACATATTTGTTAGCGAAACCCTTGATGCTTGAGGAAAACAGCAACTTCTATAAGAGGCCAGAATCCCATATGTTAAATTTATGGGAAATACTTCCATTTTTATAACACAACTCACTCCTTAGCATGATCAGAATTCTTTGAACATTACTTTTCAGGTCTAAAATGCATGCATCTATACTTCAATTATTCATTCCTGATTTTCTCTTCTCTGGGTATTATCACTAGCATTATCTTCTGTCGAAAATATATCTATGGCAATTCAAGGTGAACTTATATTGTAATTCAGGCACTCTACAGATCATGAAGTTGCGCTTATGATTCTTATGGCATATTTATCATATATTCTAGCCGAAGTAAGATTCCTTTTATCAACTCTGAAATTTTTCTTTCCAGCATGCAATTGGTATTTAGATCTTTGGGGATACCAGAAATCGCTTGCAATTTGATGCAGTTATTCTATTTGAGTCAAATTCTCACCGTATTTTTCTGTGGAATTGTGATGTCTCATTACACCTGGCACAATGTGATTGAGAGTTCAAGAATTACTACAAAGTATGTTTACACTAGAATTTGATTGTAAACCATTGAAATTCATTTACTTGTGTGAGACTAGCCACTCGATGAATGCATTAATAATTTGACGAATTTACAGGCATGCTTTTGCAACTTTGCATTTGTTGCTGAGACTTTTATCTTCCTCTATTTTGGTATGGATGCCTTGGACATTGAAAAGTGGAGGTTTGTGAATGACCGGTATGTTGACAACATTCAGACGAGAGAGTATATTTCTAATGATCTGAGTGGATATTCGTCCTTGGAGATCATTCGAATGATTTACATATTTTCTGCAGTATATGAAAAAAATCTTTTGTACATTTTTTCTCATGTTCTCTAAATTGGGTTCTTTGCAGTCCCGGGACTTCAGTTGCAGTGAGTTCAATACTTCTGTGCCTAGTTTTGTTAGGGAGAGCATCGTTTGTGTTTCCGTTATCATTCTTAACTAACTAAACGAAGAAATCTCGGAATGAACATTTCACCTTCAGGGAACAAGTAAGCAGTTGCTTTCACTTGAGTTTAATCCCAAATTATTAATTCAAAGTGAATATTAAATTCATTCTTCTCATTTGATAGGTGATAATATGGTGGGCTGGACTCATGAGGGGTGCTGTGTATATGGCCCTTGCTTATAATAAGGTGAACTTGTAGATTTGATGCGGACAACCTCCATCCAAGCGACGAAGCCACAGCTGAATGTGTTTCTTAATATGAATTCTATTAAAGATGTCAAGGATATTAAACCAAATATCAGAGCACAATTTAGATATTCTTTTTTCCTTATTTCTTTCTTTTACAAGTTCTTCGTGTGGTGATATTCATTGATGAAGTTTCTCATCTCCTCGAGTATATCCTACAAACAAATGGCCTTTTTCCGTTTTTGCAGTTCTCGAGTTCTGGGCGCACACAACTAAAACCGCATGCAATAATGATTGCCAGCACTATTACTGTTGTTCTTTTCTCGACTATGCTAACGAATCCCCTGCCTTCTAGCTTCCACTCCTTTTTACTTCTTCATTTCAATACACGCTCACTTTATTTTGTCTTGTAGGTATGTGGTTTAATGACACAGCCACTTATATATAAGACTTCTTCTACCACATCCGAAACAGTCTAGCAGTGCTGCATCGTCTGGTCCTAATACTTTAAGGACGGTGATTGTACCACTCATCGGGCATCAACAGGACTCCGAAGCTGATTTGGGTGATGACCTACTAGTCTACGAATGCTTTTGACGACACCTACTCACACTGTGCATCGCTATTAGCGTAAGTTTGATGACACGTTCATGCACCCAGTGTTTGGTGGACGGGGTTTTGTTCCTTTTGTTCCCGGTTCACCAACTGATGAACGGAATCCACATTGATGTTGATGAAAGCGGGGATAGAGAAGATTTAGAGGAAAGTATTTTGTACAAGGCAAGTTTAGTCAGATGAACCTGTGGACATTTTTTGACCTTCAACAATGCTTTGAAGTTTGATCATATGGTGTCCTCATATGGTGCTAGATTGTATTATATTTGCATGCCAATAGACAATTACTAACTATTTTTAATATCATTTCATCAGAATTTTTCTGCAACGTATTTTGAAAAGTGATTATTTGGTCGTTTTCTGTAATATGGCATTGAACGAACTTGCATAATTGTTTCTATGTATTGTCTGTATTATACAACTATTAAGAATTAAAAATGTAAATTGGGAGAGAAAATGTTCTAATGTGTAACATTTGTTAATACAAACTCAAGTTCAAGTGATCAATCTTTCGTAAAACAGGACATGTCATTGCTATAAAAACTGTTTCGTGCTTTTCTAATAAACAATGTCAGCATACACAGAGAAGAAGAAAGAACCATGACCACTGAAAGTACAGGACTTACATAATCTTACATCCGTGCCACAAAAATCCTTTCTTCGTTGTCTTCTTCTTTTGTATTTTTCTTATAGCTGTTTTCGTCATTTGATGTTGAAAAAAATTCTGCTCCTCTCTTTATGCTACTCTGCGTATTCTCACCAGTTAACAGAGAGGAAAGCTGATCAACTGCAACAGCATTCCTTTTGTAATTCCAAACGAGCATTGAAACATAATCCTGAGGTGAAATCAGACCTTGATCTCTAAGGCAACTCCGCTGCTCCTCGAGAGTTTTTGGGTCATCCAGCCTTAAATATTCAAGCAACGCTTTCTCATGATCTGGTCTCCAACCAACTGGAAAAGGTGTGTAGTCAGTCTCGGGTACAAGAGACATTCTAGTATACTGTAGTCCGTCAATTGATTCGACAAGACCCATTCGTAACAAATTATGATACTCAGGTGACTGCCCTTTCTTTTCCTTTAGAGGGCGACTTAAATTCCGAGAACCAATCTTGTAAACCTTTGCTCGTGATCTTAGCTTGTACTTTGCAGCATACAGCTTTGCAAGTGAACCTCTAATTATGTAGGAACAGAAGTTAACGATTTTCTTCCTGTTGTCAGCATATCGATACCACTCAACCATTACTGACAAGAACTTATTCATTTGAGAATTCGTATGAGCTTGGGTAGCATGAAACATTCTAAAACAAGGTTGTGGATCTGGATCCCTATCTCCCTTTAGAAAGCTCAACTTTCGAAACTGTTTGATGCATTGTTTCAAGCTAGCCGTGACTGACAGCAACGTGCCCACGCCCTTTTCACTAATAATTTTTCCACCAGTAGCAGTATACCGCAGAGTAGGATACACTACTCTACGGCATAATACATGGTCAAGAAACATGATGCCCTTAGTTATGTGTTCAATGGGAAGGCTTTCATTATCAAGTTTTAACATATACTTCTGGTCACAGAATTCTATCAACTGCTTTCTCAGCGTTGCTGCATCTGCCCTTGGTCCCCTAACTCCAATCAAAACATGACCACCATAACGGATATAATCAATCTTCCTGGTCTTATCTGGGCCACTAGTTGGAACAAATTCCGGCCAAGATGTATTTCCTTGTTCCGCATCCCCATCAGAACTGTTCCATATCACATCATTCTTCGAAGGCCGATAGAATTCCTTAATTTTATCTTCCATCCAGTGGTCCAATTCATCAAGACATATGTTAGCCAAAAGAGGACTAAGGATTCCACAATGACCCCATGAAGGAAGCATCTCAGCCTCCTCAGGTGCAAACCCGAAAAAGCTCTCTAGCCAATATGGATCAGGCTTTGGCTCATCTTCTGCCAATACTCTTTTCTTCTGATACTTTCTTTTCTTCTTTTTCTTCTCTCCGTCATCAACCTTACTCGTGATAACCGGCGTCGTCAGTGCTGCCTTTATCAAATCAATCACCTTCTTATCCCTAACATCCCTCATCAGAGAACTTATAACCATCCCAACCTTCATTCCATCCAACATGGCACTCAAATCACCCTTTATATACCACAAGTAGCCTGCAAAACTCCTCCTAATTACCCTCAGCACTGTATGGGCATTCCTCCCTGGCCTAAATGCAAACGACCTCTGTGAAAACCTCGCCTCATAAACTGGCTCCAAAATCAAAAACAACACCTCCTGAACAATTCTATCCTGAAACGCAGCTGGCTGAGTCGTCGTCAAAATCGCTCTAATTTTCCTCTTCGACAAGGACTCGTAATCTGTCTTGTCTTTGGGAGACCTAATGAAAAATTGTAACCTAGCTCCCCACTTAAACCTATTATCAAGGACTGCATTGCGCAACCCCAGCAAGTCCTCAAGGGCAGAGCGCGTAATGGCACTGCGAGGCATGTAAGCACCTGTTTCGTCAGCACATACTTTCTGATAAGCAAATACCCACAACTCAAATCTTCTCAAATAATTGGTCAAATTGGTAACAGTTTTTTCGGGTTCTCGGAAATTTTCAATCCACATTTGGGAACAAACTGCAACTCCATCCTCCTTCATCAAGGTGGCCGGGTCATTCGGGTCAGGCATTCGACTAGAATATGTAGCAGAACTGCTTTGCGTAAATAATGCTCTAAACAAAACAAACCCATTACTATTTTTACAGCTGAGATTGTTATTCCACTGAGGAATGGGAAATATGGGATGTTGGTTTGTTTTCGAAAAAATTGTGGTACTGCTTCTGAGTCCTCTGTAGCTCAAAAATTTCAAGCTTCGATGCATTTAACTACTGTAGTGTACGAGAATTTGGTAATTTGAACAAAAATCTTAAAATATTCACATGAACAACACTACTAATCCAGACAGTGGGTGAAGTGAAATGGAAAATGGAGAATGAAAACGAATCAAAGTATTTCTTACTCTCAAATTGATTGTAAGCGTTGAGTGGAGGTTGAAGCATAGAAGATCTTCACGGAATTTCTGGAAATTGAGGTTTTAATCAGGATCAGGGTTTATACTGATTAATATTTAATAGGGAATTCAGGAATATGACGATGCTCATCAAGATATTGTTTTAACATAGTGGCGGATCTAGGTCTGGGCTGGACACGGCTACAGTCCGTGCCAGCTCCATACCAGATCCAAGTTCAGTCCAGCTTTTTTTTTTGGGCCGTCTACAAATTCAATCCAGCCTGTGTTGACTTAGCCCAAGACTGAAACAAAAAGGGAAAAATTCATAATTCAGGTGCATGGTTTACACCAATTCAAAAGTCAGGTAGATAATTTAACAATTCAAAACTCGGGTATTAGGTAATTAATTAAAAATATTTATTAATTAGGTCACAAGTTATTTATTGGTCACATATTATCAAATTAATTAGTCAAAGACGATTTCTAGGTCACAAATTCAAAAATTTATAGGTTATAATTAATTTTATTGGTCACATGTTTTCAAATTTGTTGGTCACATTATTTTCAGTCACATATTGTCAAATTTTTAGGTCACAGTTAAATACTTGATCACAGATAACCAAATACTTGGTCACAAACCACTGACACTATCACTTCCACCACCAACCACAACCATCGCCACTAACCACCACCAACAATAACAACACACCACCTCCTCCTCATCAACAAAATCACCATTTTCACTCCAAAATCACATCTACAGCCGCCGCTACCACCACACATTGCCGTAACCAAATCCACAGCCGCCACTACATCAGTCTCAAGCGTCACGACGCTAATGCTACCGCTGCATCAGTCGGCACAGCGTCGAGCATCACGACACTGCTATTGCGATGCTGACATTCACGACAGCGTCGCACCATTCATAGAGAGATAGGGAAGGAGAAGGACGAGAGGCGAGAGAGATGGGAGGGGAAGATGAAGAAGGAAAAAAGTGCAGCGATGCGGTGGATTTACTTTGGGTGGCACGGTTGATCTGCTTCTATGTCATCCCTTTTCATTGCAGCAGCACCAAGGCACTACCTCAGCGCTAGGTCGTCGGACCGACGACGGAAAGAGGGGAGGGGAGATTTACAGAGAGAGGGAATGGGAGGGGAGAGGAGGCGCGAGAAAGAGAGGTGAGGGAGTTGAGAGTGATAAATTAGGGTTAGGGTATTAATATATTACCTGATTTTTGAATAAATAAACTTTGGATCTGAATTTTAAAAAGCTATCTTTAAACCCCTTATTTTTCATAATTTCCCAACAAAAAAATTAAGAGAATAATACATAATTACAAATGTTTCAAGTTACACTTTCAAAAATAAGAATTTGTGAAAAAGTTTCAAAAATTAGGTGGTCACCTGATAACACGTCAACATCTCACAATAACACGCAATTATGATCACAGTCACAAATACACAAATTATGAATCACAATTACAAATTTAATTGCAATCACACTTTTTTAGGTCACATATTATTTATTGAATACAAATTACCCATTTTATTGATCCTAGTTTCTCAAATAAGTGATCACAAACACTCATCATCCTACTCCATCGCCGCCGCCACCAACAACAATCACTATTTGCAAACTGACCCCCGGTCTGAAATTGTAAGCAGGGGTCTGCTATTTCACAAATTGCACATTGCACTAGAGGCCCTCACCCAAACTTTTTTTTCCCTCCCCTTTACTCTATGACGTCAGCACCCATCGAGCCATAGGTGGTGCGCAATCTCAGGCACAGCACCCGCGTTGCTCTTAGAGTAGCCGATGCTGCTTACATATTGGCAACAATAGTGGAATGTTGGTGGCGACGATGGACGGTGGTGGCGGGCAGCAATTTTGATGGTGTGGGTGTGATTGTGACTTGGGAGAATGGGTAAAAGAATAAATTAGGATTTGTGTAGGTGGGTGGGATAAGCCTGATTTTTGAAAGAAAAAACCTAACACCTTATTTTTTAAATGATAACACAACCCCTCCTGGCCTTCCTTCGATTGCGCACATCGAGTTTTACGATTTTATTTTGTATGTCCCTCTCCATTAACCTGCCTTCTTTTTATGTTTATCAGGTTATGTAGTAGATTTATTTAAGCAATAAATCTTGAGTATGATGTGTAGTAGAATTTTGCTCTGAAATATGATTTCTTAAAGTTTGTAACTTTCTTCTTGGCCTTTTTGTCTGTTTATTTTTGCTTACCATACTATCAATTTTTCCTGTTCTTGTTCAATCTATGCATACTTTTTGCCTGTGACTTCTTTAACTTTTAATATTCTTTTGACTTTTGTTGTGCTTTTCTGGGCTATTTACAAGGTCTAGTATTGAATTTATTCTTGGCGATTTGAGGTGGAAAAGAAGAATTTTGACTTCTAAAGGTGATGGGATTTTATCTTATTTGCTTGGTGGTAGAGTTTGAATTTAATGCTGGAACTTTAGTGGATGAATTTAGAGAGAGAGATTTTACTTGATTTTATTCTCGTCTATTTAAGTAAATTCACATAAAGTTGGAAACGTTTTTAAAAGCTTATTGAAATATAAAAATGGTGTATGAAATTAACAACTTCCAAAGATAATTATGGGCATGTTTGACATATATTTTTTTTAAAATAAATTTTGTATGAAGTGATTTTTTTTTGAAAAAAAAGAAACGTGTAGTTATAAAGTATAAAAAAGTTAATCATCATCAGCTTCCAAATACAAGTTCATATTCAGCACTCAAGGTTCTGATAATACTAAAAACACCATGTACCCTTCTAAATCACACCTATTATCTCAAGGATTTAGCTGTAAATCCTCTTTGCTATCTGCAATCCAACATTTTAAAAGCACTGCAGAAAGTGCTTGTCCCAAAAAAAAAAAAAAACAAAAAAAAGCTCTTTGCTCGGTCACTGTAATCAATACTCGTGTTAAGAGAAGTGTTGGCATTACGACAGTGTAACGTGAGGCAGCTCATGTGGCCATTAAGAGCCAGAACCGTCAGCCTTGTTCTCACGGAAGAATCTCTCTCGCTCAACAGGTTTAGCAGGGGGTGGCGGTAGTGCAACCATAGGTCTTCCCACATTGGCTTCTTGCTTTTGCTCCACAGTAGGTGGCTGTGCAGTTTCTTGCATTGGCTCCATAGTTATTGGCTGAACAAGTTCTCGCTTTGGCCGTTCCACAGTTAATGGTAGTATGAGGGGGCGATGAAGCATTTCCCCAGGAACAGAAGGTCTCTTCAATCTCAATGGCAAATCTCTTTGGCTTTCTTCTTCTTCGGCTTGTAGACAAGCTTTTCCTTTCCTTATCCTGCCCAACAATTAGTGTGAGTATAAGTTAGAAGATTGAATTCAAATTCAAATGCTAATGCTAATGATATTGATGATGACAAGACACGAAGCAGAAGCCATTTGCACGGTTTTGAGAGAAAACTGGCTGGCTTTACACTTTGGTTCAGAGAAATATTTTCCCCGAGTAATGTAATGCAACATCTTAACCTTCGGAGAAGTTGTTCAGCCTCTTCCTCTTCCCCTGCCTGTTCATGGTCAATGTGAGTTGATACGAGCGTAGTCCCACGAGAAATGAGGGCATCGTGTCTCTGTAAAATTCTTTCAAGCTGCTCATTTAGCTCAATAGCTCGAGTAACCATCTTGTCATCCCTAGAAAATACAAAAATATATAATTGAGACTTCATTATCAAAAATTTCTGTGCTTTTAGTAGATAAATGATTACCCAGAACAGGCTTTTGTTTTTTCTAACCTCCATCACAATTTTCTATTTGTTTATATCTCAGACATTTGTGGATCATTGAAATGACAAACCACAACGCTCCTGGACACCTCGAACATAATTTCAGTGCCCTCGCACATGTCTCTTCACCAATACAATAAACCTCCCTAAGTGATATTGATACATTTTTGTTCGTAAATTGGGAGAAGGAAAACATTCCCATTTGCAGATACAGAAGAATTTCAAGAAAATATACGTATAAGAAAAGGGTAGCATTTATAGGGGGTGAAAGGATATGTGTTGATATCAATTTCTTAATCAAGGATTGATGACAAAACCTTTCACTAAATAAAAGCCTCCAAACAAGATCAAATACAACTCGACGTCATCCCAACAAATAGCTCAGATCAAGTTATACTTCAACTCGACGAGCTCCACCATGATTGAGAAACATCCACATTACTGATTTGATTAGGTGACGTCATCACATCTACCATGACCTATCCCACGAGGACACGTGGTAGGGTTGATGTAAGCATATCATAGCCAACCAATCAGAGATCAACAATGATGTGAATAACGGTAGTTATCCCAAACATCATGATAAGCTACAAGAGGCCGACCTCATTATCCACTTTAAAAAAATGCCCAAACTGAGCCCTTGTTTGATTCCCATATTTTTAAAACTTTTTTTCTACATATTCATTTTCAACCACATTTACATAATAAAATATTCTGCACGGGGCTAATTCATTTGTACATAATGGATTACTCCCTCTCACATAATGTGCGGGATCCGCGTGTATTTAAAAATTCCGACAATATGGTCCTCATCCCCATTGTGAGTAGTAGGTAAAAGATTCGGTAAAAAAATTCGGTACATGTAGCATGATCCTTCTACACGTAAAGCCAAGACTTTTCCCTACATTGAAACCACACATTCTACTAAAAAACTCTATTCAAAACTCTTTTTCTTGCAAGGAATGGGAAATAAACAGGGGCTGAATGATATGGCACACCTAATAACAGAATTACTATAGCTGATGTATGGAGGCAATCTAAACACGGTAGACGACGTGACTGGGATGGCCAACTTGCCAAATTTGGGTTATAAATTGGATTCATTGGTCCCCTCCATGGACCATGCAATCTCATATTTTCCACTTTTGTACTCTTACACTTTCCAAACAAAGTCAAGAATGTAAGTCTTTTCTATTTCAGTTAATCACCTCACTCAAAATCATCATTAGGTTGATCAAAATTGGCCACGTCAGTTTTGAACGTCAACAATATGTATTGCATTCATTGGTGACCAGACATGTACAATTGGCTGCCTTACAGACGATGCATTGTGAAATGCAGGTTATTAAGTGCACGGTTATTTCAGTTGAAATATAAGTTTTGTATGTGATGCAGTAGATGGTCAGCCTTTAAACTTTGAATATGAGGGGATAATTTAATTCTACTGCTTTTATTCTGCTGCTTTGATTGAAGTTTAGTTATGTCCATTTATTTATTTCTGAAAGGGTACTTCGGACTCTGTCCTAGTTGTCTGTTTAAAACGTCATATTGAGATTTCTAAACGTTTGGTTGTCTTTTGATAAAAATATCCAGATATTGGCATTTCAAATTCTCTTCAGATCCTCTCTCAGCCTTCACTAAGTTTTGAGTGTGTGATCATCTTGTTTTCTTATTCTGCAATTGTTGTTTGTTAGACACACAAGTATGGAAGTGGTCATATTTAGATATCATTGCAAGATGCATTACTTGTTTGTTCGACACAAGTACGGAAGTGGTCTTACCTAGAAGTCATTGCAAGATGCATTACTTGTTGCTTGTGAAATGAACATTGTTCGACAAGATCAAGAGTGAACTCATCCTTAGCTCCCTGGAAAAACAATAATGTTGTACTAAAGATCAGGAAAAATGAACAAGGAAAATAAACACCACAGTACACTAAGTAATGGGCAATTCAATTAATATCTTAGAATTGAGACAGTAAATTGTTATTCCATTTATTTGAATTTCCAATTTGTATAAAATTCATGGCCTACTCATGTTTGCAATAATTCTCATTTCTCATGCTTGAGGAAAAAATGACTGAGGCGGGAGGATGCCAAAAGTGACCTGAGAGAGAGGCTGCAGAAAACTTTGTAGCCCTCTAGCTCAATACACACGTAGATAGACATATACATACATACATGCAAACACAAACACACGTACAAGAGGAAAGAACATAAAGACAGAAATATCGTTACTTTGCTCACTGTGACCATCAAGATGGAGCTACATAGTATGTGCCAAAAATGTGAAAGATATACCTAACCCTCAAACTGCCCAATGACTTGGTACTAGATCTGCAAAATTTTATCCAGTTTTCACATAAGAAATGAATTTTTTGCAATACTTCATCTTGAACAAAATGACAATCTATCTCAAAATGTTTGGTCCTTCCATGGAAAATTAATTGGGTGCAAGAGCTGCAGCAGCTTCATTAACCGTAAAACCCATTGGCTTTCTGATGTCAAAACAAGATCCTTCAACAAATGTTTCAACCAGAATACCTCAAATGATGCATGAGTCATTGCGACGTACTCGGATTCCGGACTTGATCTTGGAACTAGAATTTCAATATATGCGGCCCATCACGTATTTATTCACCCCACCCTTCATCCACCCACCCCACCACAACTATCACCACCGCCTCCTTAATCAAGGGATGAGGGTAGAAGTCCTCCTGAATTATCAGTGGGGGGAGATCACCCACTGTTAACCCAGTGAACAAGGAGAAATCCACCTTGAATTCTTGGTTAAAGGGGAGAAATCCCAACCCTCTTTCCTCCCACCCCCCTACGTTCGACAGAGAAATGCCCCTTGATTATTAAGGAGGTGGCAGCAGGGTGGTGGAGGGGTTAAGATGATTAGTATTTTTTTTTTTTTTTTAAAGTAAGATCTATACCGTTAGATTAAGTTAATTTAAGAGTTGTGATAATTTGTCAAACGTATTGGTCCATTGAATGCTCCCCTCTATTGTAAATGTTGTCTTCATTCTTTGACACACAGAACAAATCATTTCAAGGTGTGTGTCAGTTTATTAGGCTTATTTTCCAGAGTATTTGTTGCTCATATGTTTGTGGTTGTTTTGTCATCATATAATTTGGCTGCTGAATCTCATGATAATGAAACAATAAATAGGCTATATCTTTTCTGAATTTATAATTTTTCAACGTTTATTTACTAGTTATAGGTATTTATCATTTCTACTACATCAACTAAGCATTGAGAAGTATGAAGCTTATCTTTGTCAGCAGAAGAAATTATAAAACATTAAATACCTCGGAACGTTGAGTATCAACAGCATTAAGGACGTCCCTCAAGACCTCTACAGCAGTGCCAGCTTTCTCAAGTATACTGTGGAAATTTGAAATTGTTAAAAGTAAGATGATCAAAAAGCCATAAAATAGAGATTAAGAGTACTGATTGTTTTCTTTTTCCCTTGGATATAAGAGGATTTATATGAAGCAACAATGGTATTGGTACCTTGATACGGAAACATTTTTGGGTGCTTTTCTTTCAAATTGAGGAGCAGCAGATTGCTTATCTGATGATTTATTCTTATTCACCTCCAATCTAGAATGAGGTTTAGGGGCATCAGAAGAACTTTGAGGAAATTGCACTCCTGCGCTCTGGAAGATGTTTTTATTGTTAGCTTAGTCAACAAAGTCTACAAAAGAAGGTGGCAAGTCTACCGAAATACATATCATACAGTGAACAAAGACAAAAATATTCATTGAAAGAAAAAGCATGGGACATAAATCAATGTACATCTTTAAGGAAGATTCATTTTTCTTTACATAAAAAATACTTGTCCTTTTAATTAAACATCTTTCATTGACATTGATATGCACTTCAAAATGCATATTGAAATAGAAAAAATAGAATATAGAAATATATACAATCATGCATGGGACGAAACACACAAAGTGACCAATCCAGTATTTTGGTGAGATACAGCAACAGAGGTCTATTTATGCCTCTTCAACATGAAAAGGTTTTTATTCTGGTAATTGAGACCCAACCAAAAATCTATTCCCTAGTTCAACCACACAGCCATACTGTTGGAACAATTCCAAAATAAAAGAAAAGGAAATTGGATGGTCCAGATTCAACCTGGGAACAGTTATTAGATAACTGGGACCATGATATTTTTTAATTGATGATAGTAAACATACAGAAGACATCGTTTGAAGAAAGAAAAACATGGATAAAAAGATTAAGTCTTTTGGAAAAAGATAAAAAGCATACAAATACAGTAGCTGTTCCAGGGTAAAATAGCAATGTGGATTGTCATGATTAAATCATTGAAAGACTCGAATTTATCCGGGTTTAGACTAGAAACACAGTGATGAACAGGAATGGCTGGAACAACATTTGCTCAATATGGACTTCGATTCTAAATTTTTAAAAGCTTGCAATTAATATATAGCTTGCTCTGTACTTACCACCAATTCACAATAAGCAGAATAATATTGAGGAAACCTCCCAGAATTTCCACCAAGAGATGTTTGAGCCGCATCTAAGAGGAGAAAAATCTTTTCCCCTACACAAAGATCGGACTGTACAAACAGAGATAAAAAAAAATTATTTCTTTAATTTAATTAAATCAACAAATGACTGAGCATAAGACGTGGAAAAGAGTGTCCACCTTTTTCTTAACTATCTTCACAAGCATAGGAAGAATACCTGTGTCTATAACCTGCTGATGAACATGTTCTCCAATATTGTTCATCAACATCTCAAGAAGCTATGAATCCAACCAGAAACAAATAGTCTTATCAATGCTTCCAAGTAAGTGGTCAGGAGGCAAATATAATCCACCGCAAGTAAAAGGGATCCATCAAACCAAACAGAAAAATATACCCTATAAGCACTTACCAGTACTGAAAATAATTGAGTGTTTGAATTTTTGCTTCCCAGGCATTTTTTTATAGCTTTTACAACATCTTTAGCTTGTCTGTATTATCAAAATACATAAAATAGTGGTCAAGTGGCTACAGTGACATTCAGACACACAGTTAATGTTAAATTAAACAAGACCAACCCTGTATTAAAAATTAAACTTGATTCAGCAAGACAAAAAGTAACCTCAGCACCATTTTACAGATTTACTTGTATTAAATTACTCAAAGTGAAAGAAAGAAGGTTCCAAGTTAAATTTGACCTTCTACATCTAGAATGCATAATGATCATCAATCATTTAGGAAAAAGGAAAAAGAAATTCTTTTAACAAGATGAAAAGAGAAGAAAGAACATCCAACGAGAACCTTCTGTCGAAATATTGAATACCTAACAGAATTGAGGCCCCATTGAGAGAGCAATGTACATCAATAATAGCAACATTACAATGCAGTACAAAAGTATTGAAATTACACCTGTGATCACATGCAACTAATTCACAAATCTCAATGTTTTTCGCCCAATCCATTTCAGTAAGCTTGTCACTTGTTGCAGAATTCACGAGTTCAGACGCCATATTTATGATCCCCACTGTAAGCAATCACAGCAAGCATCATCACGATATAACAGGAAGAATAAAACACAGGCTATTAATCTACAGAGGAATGTATCATATCATTCTTTTTAATATATTTAACACTTGATGAGAAATTTCTGTTACCCACAGTAATCCATCAAATATCAGTTATGCCTGAATATGACCATGGAAGACGGCATTCTTTCCCTCTATCTTTCAAAGAAGTAAAATATTGCTAAATGGAATTATTCGACTAGTATTATTAACCACCTGGAGCAAAATCAGTCAATGACTGCCAATATAAACGCAAGCACGAAAAGGAAAAGCATTTGTGAACAAATAAATTATAGACTTTTGAGCTTACAATTTCAGTGCATACTTTAGAGATAAGAGAAGCATCCCAGATTTAATACATGGGGTTTTCAAATAATTTAAATGAAAATTAGATGGGGTTTACATACTCAGTTTCTATCATCTCATTAGCACCAAAGAATTTGAAAAATATAAAAATCATTCTCGTCTTTCATTTCACACAAACATTTTAATTCAACTTCAGATCTCAAGAAAGGATTGCATGTGATCCCAATAATAAAAAGAAAAACAAAGAAAGATAATGTCCCAGACAAAATTACAAAAAATAGAAAAGTCAATGTATAAAAAAGAAAAAATATATAGTTCCAGTAGTGATAATGCACCTGGGAAGCAGCAAAGAACAAAAGCAGCCGCGCCTCAACACAAATATGGGTGTATTGTATGTATATACGAGTTTTTACATATAAATCAATGATAAAGAGAGGAAAATGAAAAGATTCTCTTACATGAAGGGACTTTACTCAAAAATCAATCTCTGTATACATTAATACTCATTATAAAAAGTAGTAAAGAATACCAATTAAGAATCTGTGATGGAAGTTTATCTAGAGCAACTGTGTGTGTGTGTGTGTGTGTGTGGCGGGTAGCGAAAGTGATGGATTTAAGTAATGGCGGCGGCGCCAGAAGATATTATTGGCTGGCCAATAATTACTCCATTTTGATGCCAAAACGAAGAGTAAAATGGACTGGCAATAAAGATATTGAAAGGCGAAGCTCGAATGAAGGTCCACCACGTGACGGGCTAAAAATAGCGAGTAATAAATGTCAGCATGCTCGAGGCGACAGGCGGATGGTGGGTGGAGGTTGGGTTTGTTGCTTTGCTGGACATGATCCTATACACATGGCAACTCCGATGCTCTTATTACAGGACATGTCTACAATAATATTGTCACCCTTGTTTGGTGCACATTTTGAAAGAATAGTGCTATGTGTACACACACTTTTTTACATATTATGTGTGGGCCCCCCTCCATGTGAGGGAGGTGTAAAACATTGTGTAAAAAATTGTGTACACATAGCTTTATTCATTTTGAAAATAAGAATGCATTTTTACTGTTGATGTGATGAGAAATATGTGATTGAAAAAGAAAGAAAAGTTATTGATGTAATTAAAAATATTATTTTATTGAAGAATGTGTGGTTGAAAATTAGTAGAATAATGAAAATGAAAAAAAATAATGTGAACCAAACAGGGTCTATTAAAAATCAGTAGAGTGATAAACCGTGCAAGTCAATTGGGAACTTGAGGCTCGAGCATTGGCACATCCTGACCTAGGGAGGCAAATGGGTCTAGCGGCACATGAGCTCGGCTCGTCCCGTCTCGGTTCGATTCATGGGCAACTTGAGCTCGTATTGAAACAAATTATGAATTGAATCAAACTCAGGTGTCTACTGACCATTGCCACCCCTATCTTGACCCCTTGCCCTCGTGTGTGTGTGTTTGTTTCTCTTATTGCAACTTATAAAGTGATACCACCAACAATATATTCTAGAATCTTTTCCTCTCTTTGTACAAACGAATTGACCCCTACTTGTTAATTTTTCAATCGACTACCAAAAAAAGTGTAATGCTTGAAGATTTATCAACTAGATGCATTTTAACTACGACTACATAAATAATAAATACGAGCTAAAGAAGATGACGAGATAACATATCGCAAAGCCCTAAACTAACTCGATTAAAAATTGAAGTAACTAATGAATGTCATTTACAAGGAGCAAGAGTATTGCACATTGTGCCATCAGATGGGCCTGAATAGGTGAAAAATCCCATACAATGATGACCTTTTGCATCCAAAAATTCAGTCACATCAAAAATGAATAAACTCTTCATCGGGACAAGAAGAATTCACTACTCGCGAACCCACCCACCTCAACTTTAAGGAAACGAGTCACCAACCCACTCTTCCTCTTCATCCAGTAAATATTTGCAACTGTACTACACTGCCTATATAATCTAGCTGGGAAGAGAAGATGACAGTTAGAGTTCTTTCCACTTGTTTACATACTTAAGGAAGGCAAATGCGGGATTTTCCCTAGGTGGGGCACGAACACGAGTTGACCTCCTAAGCACAGCCTCTTCTTCCATTGCAATGCTGCGAGCAGCCTCCTTTGATCTTTTCTGAAATTCCAAGCTGCAAATAAATTTAAGATACATTAAAAGTTGGATTCAAATGGTTTTCCCAATCAATGTCATTGGAAACATCAAGTGAAGAACAATTGTTATATAAAAAATCAATGCTCAAGAGTTAGGATAATAATATCAAAGTTATAAGTCAACAAAGAAACGTACTTCCAGCCATTATCGAGTATTAACATGTAAAGCTCAAGCCGAGTTCTACAGTAGAATGAGCATGTTTGGCAAATGTTCATTGTAAATAGGTTTTAAAATAAATACTTTTTTTTTATTGTTTAAAGTTGGGAATATGGTAATAATTACTTCCAAAATAAAATTTTTGTGCTTAAAAGTAAGAAAATTGTGACACGTTGGAAACACAAAGTAAATTTTTCATTTTAAACTTGGCCAAACATGCTAACAGTCTCGTATATTATGCAATCGGGGAAAATGATTGGCCACTTTCACTGGAGTGTAATGTCAATTCCCAACTGAGGATGTAAAAAACTAATCAAAAGATAAAATACAACTATTGACAGATAAGAAAAAGATATTTACAAAGTTCCACAAATTTGCACGACACAGAAAACCAACAGAAGTTAAATTTCAGCAGAACAAAACAAACAATAACTTCCAGAGCAAAAGGCCAAGAATATTCATATTGTTCAATAATATCAAACCACATTTAAATATAAAGATCTACAGCAAACCCCGTGTATGGAACACATGATAGCTTAATTTTTGGCCGGGACAAGACACAAGTTCAGTGTTCAGTTTAGCAATCAATAATGGCTAAATTCAAGAGGATTCACACCCACATTTTACTTTCTCCCACTCCACCCCCACCCCTCCAACCCTTACTGAGGCATGGAAAATGAGAAAGTAACATTCTTGGTACAAGGTCATGAATAACTTACTTTATTTTGTAGTAGTTTTTCTCCAGCTGCTTTTTAAGAGACCTTTCCCTCTCACCCTTCGGATTCAATGAGCCAATCAAAGCATCAAGCTATGATAAGCAAAAAAGATGAATATAAATAAAAAAAAATAGAGAAATAGAAAATTATAAAAAAAAAAATCGGAAAAGAGTGACTTCTAATTATACCTCTTCCTTAGTCTCATAATAGCCCCACTGCATGGAGTTTGTACTCTCAACAAATATTTTTCCTTCACGTCGGAAAAACCAATACCTGTTACGATTTCTGTCTTTCCCCAATGGACTGGTGCGTACAATTCTCTTCTCCATCTCCCGTTCAAGGTATTCTTTCTG